TTGATGGGCACCCAGATGGGCTTTGAGTATTTCTTCCAGGCCGGAACCTGAATTTCCTTCCAGGCAGGGACCTTGATGGGCACCCAGATGGGCTTCCAGATCTTCTTCCAGGCAGGGACTTGAATTTCCTTCCAGGCAGGGACCTTGGTGGGCACCCAGATTGGCTTCCAGATCTTCTCCCACTTAGGGATCTTGATATCCTGCCAAGCTGGCTTTTTAGTGGGAACCCAGATAGGCTTCCACACCTTCTTCCAGCCTTGTTTCCAGATCTGCTTCTGGGCGGGCTTCCAAACTTTGACCCAGTCGGGCTTCCAGATGAGCTTCTTCTTCCAGTAACCCTTGTGCTCCTCGTGATGGTGGTCGTCGTGGTGTTCCTCGTGGTGGTGGTGGTCGTCGTCGCCGCCACCGCCTCCGGACGGGTCGTAGCGGCGCTCCGCCACCGGGGCCACGGCCTGCGCCACGGGCCCGACGGCAGCGGGTAGCGGCGCGCCGACCCCTCCCGACACGGGGGCGTCTAGTGCGGGTGGTGTCAAACTGCAAGCAGAGGAGAGAGTGGGGTCAGCTCGGATACTTGTACATTATTGAACGAATGTGCTTGATTGAGTTTGAAGGATACTTACTGTTCTTGCGGGTCCAGCGCCTTACTCACTACTAGAGCAACTTGTAGTAATGCCACAAGGGCCACCTGTAAGCAAGAAGAACAGCAGAGTTAGAAGTGTACATCTCTTTCTCTCTCTCGCACACACACACACACACACACACACACACACACACACACACTCAAGGCGGCGTCCAGGAAGCCTGTCCCTTGGCTCTGCTCGGCTTATAGCAGCCATCCACGCGAATTGGCAGCGCAAAATACCGCCGCGCGGCACGCACGCTGCGTCCACGATCTCCGAAACTAACTGGCCCCCGCGACCGCCTGGACCCCGCCAGGGTGGTTGGTCGTGGTAATAACAACAATAATGGCAATTGGGTGCGATTTATGGTAAGTCGGTTGATGTGCGTGAAAGTAGTAGTAATAACGGATTCGATACCCAGAATCCTGTTTCTTTTCTCTTTATATTGTAGAAGGATACTTTTTGGAGGCCCTGCAAGAGCGCTCCACCGAGCTTCCGAAACGAGCTCGGCATGTCCCTCTCCTAGACATGATTCTCTTGTCTTCCCCCTCCTCCTCCTCTTCGTCGTGTCGCCGTCGTCCCGGTGGGCGTCACACCCCGTCCGTTCGTCGTCTGCCGTCCGTCCGTCCTCCGGGTCGGCGGGCGTGTCGTCGCCGTCAAACGGCACGCCATGACGCTTACCTGTAAGAAACAAGAGCATCAACGCACCGGCGTTAGTATCGGGTCGAGCTATAATGAGCAATCTGGGGAGGTGGTGAGAATAGCTCGAGTACAACAGCGTGGCGATAAAGATCGGGCGATGAGGCCGTCTCTAGCCGCCGGGCGGGGCGGGGCCGAGCACAAAAGGCAGCGATGGCCGAAAGCAAAAGCCTCTCGCGGAACCCATCCCGGTAGGGGAGAGCCGCTGTGCGGTGACAGCAACGCCGCGACGGCATGAAAAATCCGCACGCGCTGCGCTTTTGCTTTTGTATGGGAGCCGGCGGCAGGAAGGTTCTCATAAGTTTCCCGCCCGGTTCGCTATATGTGTATGCACTTCCGCAGCAGCAAGGCGGGCTGGCGAGGGAAGCCTTTCGTCTCGTGGCGCAATGATAACCCCGTCAATGGACACTGTGTGTGTGTGTGTGTGTGTGTGTGTGTGAGCGAGCGAGCACAAACACGGAGGCGGCATAACGTACCGTGACGGCCGCGCTACTCCAGCGTGACACGTTAGTGTGGAGCCGCAAGCAAGCCTGTCTGCTTGATCGACGCCACACACACACACACACGCGCGCGCGCACAGACACTCTCACAACACACGCACAAGATCGCGAGCACGACGGCGGGGCGGATCGTGTGCCTCCGAGGCACACACACATCGCGCCGGCCCGTTTCGTGACGCACCGGCACATAACTCTCGCGAATCAAGCGCAACAGCGGCCGCGGAATCGGCGAGGAAAGAGAGTGCAAAAGAGTGAAAAGCATCGCAGGCGGCGGGTTGCGAATATTTTCGCGTGCTTCTCGATTTCGCGCCTATTATTATTATTCGATGTGGACTCGGGGAAAAGGGTAGAAACAGAAAGAACGGAATGAACTAAGCAGGCAATTTAGGATGAAAGAGTATACCACACTGTAAACTCGTGCACTTGTTTTCGGGAAACTCTTATATTGCGGAATTGGAATTATTGGGTTGGCCTCAGAGGATATGGTGGCGAAAGTAGCATGAAGCTAGTGGAAGCGAAGGAAGGAAGTCCGAGGGGCAGTCATGCGGAAAACGTAATACATATCTCGGGAATTCGGTGGCTCGCGATCGAACGTGCTGTGGGCACTATCCGACTGGCGGACCACTAGCGGAGCCGAGAAATGTTCCGGGCCACGCCCCCACCCCGCCACGCCCCAACTCTGCCACGCCCCGCCATGCCTCACCTCGCCATGCCGCATCTCACAACGTCCGCTTTCCAACGGCGCCAAATATCTCGCGAGCCTCACGACGCCCACATTTCCGATCCGGATCCGCCATTCCCATCTGCCCAAATCATTTATCTTTACCGACCAGTGGTGCCCGTAAAGGCGTTCCCCGTGGGGCGTTCTCGTGAGGGCGCATATCAGTGCAGGGTGGTGCCCGCCTCACGTAATACCTCGCGCCCGCGCCCTAGGAAGGCCGGGCAACGCGACGTCGACGCCGACGACAAACGTGTCGCGGTGACCTACTTGTTGCTTGATGTTGTGCTAGGTCAGGGAAGGGAAGCAGGGCGGCGGTGCGGCGGCAGCTAGGGAACAGCCCCGCCCCGCCCCGCCACGCCACCGCCCGCAGCTAAACAATCCGGATTTTGTCACCTTGTCCGGATTCTCCCACGGAAGTGGTGGCGCGGTACAAGAGCAGCAGGCCACGCCGCGCCGCGGGGCGTTGCCCGCCGCCACGACGCCACGCAGCGCCACGCCGCGCCACGCCAACACGGTGCGGCCGCTGCACCACCGCGAGCTGCTCTACGATCTCGCAGGCAGCAGCACCAGCAGCGCTGACGGTGGTGGAGCAACTCGACACTTAGTCGCGTTACGGAGCCGCGCCCCACTTTTTATTTTTTGCCGTGCCGCGGGGTTTTTCACTTGCCTTCTATTATTGCGATTCAGATTCGGCCCCGCGGGGGGTGTGCCATCGCGAGCGAGCCGAAGATTTGGCACGGATCAAGCGAGGCGTCGGCGTGCAGCGACGGCGGCGCCGTGCGAATATGACGAGAAGGCCTAGTACTTGCCGCGAATGGCGATAGCGCGTCGTTAAGGGCACGGCTCACGGCGTCGCGTATGTATCGTATCGGCCGATATGGGAGGCTAAGGTTCTCTGTCGTTTGGCACGTCGACTTGACGAGGTGCAAGCAGAGCTGAAGTAGTATGGGTAAGTTACCCGCGGGTTATTAGACGGAAATGGTGATGGTGGACGAGCAGCTGACCCAATGGAGCAAGTCACCGCCCGCCCCCCCTTTCCCAATCTTACACACACCACTACTTTGCATGGATCAGCTGTGATGGGCAGAGCGCCGGTCGTTGTTGCCGGTCGGGAAGGGAAAAGGAAATTGCGTATATACACGACTGCCGCATGGCGGTGCGGTCATGCCGGGCAAAGTCGCTATTTCACACGGGCCGCCCGGGCCACCGGCATCAGGCAACCGGTTATTGGGTGTGGGAATAATTATATCACAAGCACACACACACACACAGACGCCCTGCTACCGTCGTCGCCCAGCCGAGCAGGGGGAAGCCCCACACCAATCTCGGCGGCGCGACGGCGTATAGCTGCCTCTGGCCAAACGGTCGTCGGCGCGTGGGCAAAGCTCTGCTACCAACGCAACGCACGAATGCACCGGCACAGCGTGGCGTTCGCCAGTGATGCCAACACAACGGCGAGACATCTGCGCGCTCACCGGAAAGTGAAAACAGAAAACACATTGACGCATCTCCGCTTCCCTCCCTCGCCCCCTCTCTTTTCTCCCTCGAATGTGTCATCATTGCACGTCCCGCCGTCGCCGTCCCCTAAATGGTAGTTGGACCCGGTAGGCCTGTTACTAAACCCCCTCGTGGTCGCCGTTGGTGGTGGACCGCCCGACAAACAGCATCCGTATCCTCCTCCTTCTGCCTCTCCCCCCCCCC